TAAACAGTCAGCAATACAAAAAAATCTTTAGCAAAAGCTAGGTTGGAAAAAAATTGTACAGCAACCCTGAACTACTTGAGGAAGGAAAGAAAGAGAGAGGTTAGATTTGGAGATGGCATAGCAGGTGTAATTACTAAAAGAAACGCTCAACAGTGTTAGGAAATCTAATCATTTAAGTTAATATATATATATTACCAGAACAAAGTAAATTGTAAAATATTACAAAACATTTTAGATTTTCGATTTAAATAATTTTCTAGCCTAAATAAATATAAAAACCATAATTTCATGCCTTCATCTCGGGAGGCTTTTTCAGTTCATTCATGACAATTTGCTTTTGTATAATGTTATAATTATTAGCAGTATTAATTATCTTCATATTCATTTTTGTTTTATTAAAAACAAGCTTAGATTTGCCCACCTGTCAGGTTTTAGACCATATGGGCATGTGTATTAGGATATAACTCAGGTTTTTGACCACACTTCATTATTAATGTTCATTTATTGGTTTGCTAGAAATTAGAACTGAAATTAGAAATAGTTTTAAAACAAATCTTTGCGCTTGAACGAAATTAATCATTTACAGTGCATAAAAGGTTTCCCTATTAGATCATGCATTACGACTCAAAACAGATCTTTCCATCCTTATATTAGCAAAAGTGGATTCTAACACAATCGTTTGCCCCCTGCGCTTTGCATTTTGCGCATGGATCGTCAAAATAGAGCCCCAAGTAAGAGAGAAAATAACCAAATATGTCAAATATGAACAATTATAAAATATTTTGTTTGCAAAAATACTAATTCACCATAATTCTGAAAAAAGATGCTAAGTGGGAAAAACAAACACACTGCATCATACAAAATGTTAAGCTTTTGTGTAGTCTCTTTATAGCCATATGTAGTTTTAACGGTAATCAAAATACAAAACTTTACACTTCAAATCACTTTGTCAAACAACAAATATCAAAACCTTGTCAGAAAGAAGTATTTTAGCTTCTCTAGAAAGGAATTCCCAAGCAGAATTGTAGAGATAGTAATACTAGAACCTAGTGTTTGCACCATGTCATTGCATGACCAGAGGGTGCTAATCTTTTTGAATTTGTTTTTAAATGGCAGTATTTACTTTACCTGGAAATACCAAGTGTATCTGTCTGTGGACTGCAAGACAGGCATAACATGAATGTGCGTAACTTTTAGTAAGTTAGAGAGGCGCAATTTGCAGTAATGGAGATCCCATTGAACCATGTGAGATGTCACAACGAGATGTTGTTGGCAAGATGGTGGAAATACTTGCAAGAGATCATTTTCACTAAAGTTTTCTCCAAATTTATCCACACCCAAATAATTTAACATATTATATTTATTCATTTAGCAATTTGTTTGCGACTTTGAGCACATCAAGTATGAAGTATACGGTTGGGTGTAGGGTTGTGGTTGGTATAGGCGTTAATCACTGTGATGGTTGGGTTTAGGTGTGGAGTAGGTGTAGATGTTAATAACTGATGGATACATCGCCATCATGCCGACAACATAGTGACATGTGGGTCTCCATGACTTTAAATTTTGCCTCTACTACAAGTTATGCCCCCTTCATGTTATGCCCCTGTCTTGCAGTCCACAGACAGACCCTACTCGGAAATACAGCACTAATTTAAACTTAATTAAAAATAAAAAATTACAAAAATTCCATTGTTTTCAATAAGGAAAATGTATGTTAATTTACTGCATAAATATACATTTATACCACAATCCCCCCAAACAAAATTAAAAATAATAAAAATATTACAGTGTTTCCTCTAGGATTTTTTTCCAGCTGTTGCGGCAGGCCTTTTACACAGCTCTGTGTAAAAACAACCAACAACCTGTGGCGTTATTTCAATGACAAATGTCGAAAGCGCAGTATTACAAGTCGAGATCACATTTATATAATAGCCTACAGCATGGGGATCTCTTTGTTTGCACACCGATTTCCTCTGCTCGTGCACAAAACTTCTTGCATGCCCCCTCAAATATTAGCCGCTTCAAGAGCATGCAGATCTTCTTGTGTGCTCTCAAATAAACGCTGCTGAAGTGCGATTTAGTGTGTTTATGTCTCCAGCATTTATTAAATTTGCTAGGAATATTTACGAATGTCTCTAATAGACCTACAGAGCGATATTAATGTGTCCTGAAGTAAAGTGAAATGGCTATACGTCGTGTCTGCTGGCCTCACGCATCACGCACCTGTCAGTCAGACAGTCAGCACATAACCTTAAGGGTAAACAAATGATGCACAGCACTACTACGGTTAAAAAAAATTTTTTTTTGGCTGTTATAATTCACTTACCTTTTAGTAAGTTTTGGTGCGAGTATCACCCGCTGTTAAAAAAAAAAAAAAAAAAAAAATGGTTTCGAATGAGAAGCTGTAATGTAGTCGTTGCGGGATGAAAAACCATGTATTATATAAATATGATTGCTAAATCATTTTAGCTAAATATCATAAGCGAAAAACTGTGGGTGCTTTTAGTTGTTCATCCCTTTTTGACTGGCTAAGCCCACAAAATTTATTTCCAAATAAGGGATACCCGAGGGTTAAAGCTGTACTAGAGACCACACTATCTAGTGAGGATGATGATTTATTTCAGCTTATCCAAGCAAAAAAAATATTTTTCTTTTAAAATTAAAGTTATGTTTTAAAGCACTAATAAAGCAATTTTGAAATTCAGTGTTGTTTTTTTCTACATTAAATGTTTAACAAAATCTAATAATATACTTAAAATCAATGTTGAAATAATTAACCTAAATTCTGCAACCTATTTATCATTACCGCAACCAATGTTCTTTAAGTGATATTTTATTAATATTTTTTTAATCGTTTGCTTTTCAATGCATGTGCATAATCTACAAATTATATCCTTTCAGGTTAGCCACATTATTTTGAAAACACACCAGGTTTTATCAAAATACATTAAAAAAAGTGTTGTCAGTTGTGTACGGTGTTTCGGTAATGAGAAAAAACAATAAAAATAAAAAACCCTGTTAATTTAAAAAAAAATTTTATTTTAGAATCTAAAATAATTTCACATCACTGTTAATAATCCCTTTTTATAAAATGTCAAAATGAATTAGCTTTTTTTGTAAATCAATTTAGCAGACTGTTGTAATGAGATTTTTTTTATTACTTGTTTTGGAAATTATGCTCAAAAAGGTACTAAATGATGTGTATATATTTTTAAATTAACGTTGACAAATGCTCTAGACTTTTTCAATTATCTGCAAAACAATTTAATTTAAACATTTTTTTAAAAATTCATGTTTGAAAATTTTTGAACTATGTTTTCGTGAGAATCACCCAGCCCCTCCAGCGTGTCATGGGTCTGCCCCGAGGCCTCCTACCGGTGGGACATGCCTGGAACACCTCCCTAGGTAGGCATCCAAAACATGTCCGAGCCACTTAAGCTGACATCTCTCGATGTATAGGAGCAGCGGCTCTACTTTGAGCTCCTCCAGAGTGTCAGAAGGAAACTCATTTTAGTCGCTTGTATCCAAGGTCTTGTCCTTTCGATCATGACCCAAAGCTCATGACCATAGGTGAGAGTTGGAACATAGATTGACCGGTAAATCGAACACTTTTTAGCTCAGCTCCTTCTTTACCCCAACAGACTGGTACATCGACTGCATTTTTGCTGCCGCTGCACCAATCCGTCTGTCAATCTCATGTTCCATCCTTCCCTCCCTTGTGAACAAAACCCAATAATACTTCAACTTCTCCACCTAAGGTAAGGACTTTCCTTTAACCTGTAGATCAGAGGTGGCCAACCCTGTTCCTGGAGAGCCACCTTCCTGCAGATTTCAGTTGCAACCCATATTAAACACACCTGCCTGTAATCACGTGATTTCAGGTCCTAATTAATTGGTTCAGGTGTGTTTTTTTTATATGGGTAGCAACTAAAATCTGCAGGAAGGTGGCTCTCCAGGAACAGGGTTGGCCACCCATGCTGTAGATGGCAAGCCACCTTTTTCCAGTGGAGCACCATGGCCTCGGACTTAGCTTCTCATCCCAGTCGTGTCACACTCGGCAGCAAATCGCCCCAGTGCACGCTGAAGGTCCATGTTTAAATTGTACCAACAGAACAACATCATCTGCGAATAACGGATGAAATCCTGTTGTCCCTGAACCGGACCCCCTCCAGCCCAAGGCTGCACCTTAATATTCTGTCCATAAATATGAACAAAATTGGTGAAAAGGGGTAGCCCTGCCGGAGTCCAACATGCACTGAAAACAAGTCTGACTTATTGCCGGCAATGCAAACCAGACACCTACTCTGTTAAGGGCAGTCTCATCCCTGTATGAACGGAGCGCCTCTGACTCCATACTCCCCGAGCACCCACCACAGAATGCCACAGGGGGACACTGTTGAATGCCTTCAAGTCCACAAAACACATGTGGACTGGTTTGGTATACTCCCATGAACTCTCAAGCACCCTGGTGAGGGTGTAGAGCTGGTCCACTGTACTGTGCAGTGAGTGCTTTGTGCTCTCAGGGTGACCATCCCTATTTCCTCCCCCCAGCTTTGGCATCAATGTCACAAGGTTCAAAGTTCATGTTCTACATCACTCGTCTTTTTTCCTCAAATGCTAGAATACATTGTGTCCTAAACAGTTCCATATCAAAATGAGTTTTTGTCATGACTAGCAAAGTTTCCTTTTTAGAAAAGCTTTCCATTCCCAGATGTTGTGTCTGGAACGTATAAGTATGTGTCTGTCCTCCTTATTATTGATTGTCATTACGTATGTTCAAACCCGAGTTTCTGATTCTAGGAGTAATTTCTCCATTTATACGAACATGTATAAAACCGTTCAAGTTTTTTTTTTATTCCTTTTTTTTTAAACCCAGGCTACATACCTACTATTTAGCTAACAACAATTAAACCTGTTTAATCGATGCACTATATGTCATTGTTAATTTTACTGTGTGTCTGGGTGTGTTACGTCACTTTGACCTTTTACTATGTTCTTAGGTGGAATCTTCCTCTGATGTGGATCTGACTAAAAATAAAAGAGTAAAGAGAGGTTGGATTATTCCTCCAATCAGTGTATCTGAAAATAGCAAAGGTCCATTCCCAATGAGGCTGGTCCAGGTCAGTAACAGTTAAGAATGAACTATTTAAAATGAAATTCAGAAAATTAAGATTTGTCTGTTTTGAATGTTTTTCTGATTGGTCTCTGCATTTAGATAAAGTCGGATTATGCTATTGAAACTCGGTTGGCATACAAGATCACTGGTGAAGGGGCAGATCTAGACCCTAAGGGTATTTTCACGATAGACAGACTATCAGGATGGGTCAGTGTGACTCAGCTACTTGACAGAGAAAAAAAAGCATCATACAAAGTAAGCTGATAAGATTATTGTTGTAATTATAGTTATATACGAGTATAAAAATAGCAATAAACATCTCGGGTATGTCCTGTCATCCCCCTATTATGTTTTTAGCTTAGGGCTCATGCAAACGGAGTGGACGCGGATGTCACAGAAAAGCCAATGGACATTATTGTAACTGTGACAGACCAAAATGATAATAAGCCTGTGTTTACTCAAAACCCTTTTAATGGAAATGTTCCTGAAGCTTTGGAAAAGGGTAGGTGGATTGTCCTTTTTTTTGCTGAAATTACTTGAAGGGTTCTCATAAAGGGGAGTTGTTTTGTTTTTCTTTTCTGTATTATATGACCACAGTAAGATGGCCCTTGAAAATTGCATATCTGATTTTTGGTTGTGGAATGTTTATATTGTTTAAAATGTGCACATCAGAGTGACGTATCAATGCCTGAATTTTGGTTTTCAATATTTCTGCATATAGGATAAGGAGGTAACGCAAAAATGAAAATACGCACTCTCAAGTGGTTCCAAACCTTTAAGTTTTTTTTTTTATTTGGTTCAACACTAAAGAAATATTTTGAAGAGAGCTGAAAATCTGTAACAATTTTCTTTCATGGTAAGAAAAACAAATATGAAAGTCAATAGTCTATAGGCAATAGGGTTTCCAGCTTTCTTTAAACATTTAAATTGCCCTCAGTGTTCAGAAGAAGAAAGTAAAACCGGTTCAGAACCGGTGGAGGATGAGAATTGACACAATTTTGAATAAACCATTCCTTTATCCAAAAATTGTTCAATTTTCTTGCATGCCGGTTAGTAAATAATAAAGGGATAATTCACTTAAATTTACTCTTCTTTAGGTGGCTCTAAACATAAATTTCTTCAGTTGAACTCCGTTAAAAAATATTTAAAATGTTGGAAAAAGTTGCTATTGACATCCATAATTGTTGGGGGAAAATACTATGGAAGTCAGTAGTTACCAGTACAGTGGACAAGTCAAATTTAAAGTACAATTGAGTAATTTATTAAGTCTGTATTTGTTTTGTGTGCTGAAGTGAAATTTTTTTTTTTCTCCTTTTTTTTTCTCCTTTTCACTTGGCTGGTCAAATGCCTGCTAAATATTCTTTACTCTCTCACCAAAGGTGAAGTATTTATGACAGTCACAGCCACTGATGCAGATGATAAAGAAAACACTGACAATGCTGATATCAGTTATGTCATTATAAGCCAAGATCCACCATCTCCAAAACCTAACATGTTTGCTATCAATCCTGTAAGTGGAGGGATTTCTGTGCTGGAAAAAGGCCTGGACAGAGAGGTGAGAAATGTTTTTTTGATTAATCTCAGAGCAGTTGCTGAATTTATTCTAGCAAGTTCATTCATCTTCCTCTTTCAGCAATGGTTCAGATATACTTTGGTTATTACGGCCACTGACATGAACGGAGAGGGTTTGTCAACCACTGGCACAGCAGTTATTACTGTAACTGACAGCAATGATAACGCACCTCTGTTTGAGCAATCCTCGGTAATGTGTATTTATTCATTTACTTTTTTCATACTAATTTTATTTTTTATTTTTTAGGATTCTATAACTAAAATAATCTAATTTTATTTGATTAAAACTCTCATACTGTATATTTCTTTGCTTTAGTACACTGTATCTGTCCCAGAGAATCAAGTAGGGGTTGAAGTGGCCAAACTTCCAGTTACTGATGGAGATGAACCTGAATCAACAGCCTGGTCAACTAAGTATCAGATCATTGCTGGTGACAAGGGTGGGTTTTTCAATATCAGCACTGGACCCAGTCGTCTAGAGGGCATCATCACCACTGTGAAGGTACTGTGTGTTAATAGTGTCTGCCCAGGCAGTTGTTTGAGATTGCATACATATAAAAGGTGAATTACTAATATTATTATTATTTTTTTTCTTTCCCTTTTAGCCTCTGGACTATGAGAAGACCAAGCAGTACATTCTGTCTGTGATTGTTGTGAATGATGATAAATTTGTTGGTCCTTTGCCTACTTCAACTGCCACAGTCACTGTGAATGTAAAAGATGTGAACGAACCACCTGAGTTTATTCCAAAGGAGAAGTTTATTTCCAGACCTGAAAATTTACCTGTTGGTAGTAATTTGATCCCTTTTACAGCCATTGATCCAGACACTGAAAAAAAGCAGAACATAACGTAAGTGATTTCTTGTATATTGAAACTTTCTGTGGAGATTTTAATCTTAATGGAATTTGTGCCTTCAGTTTTGTTTTCATTTCCCTGTGACACTAAATGTTAGACAACCTTACAAGCAATAGTAGTTGCGTAGCAGCCTGATAACCATCTAGCCTTTTCCAGTAGATTACAAATCTGACATTGTGAAATTGTTTATCTTTTATTTTTTTGCAATATATGTTGCGATATGATTGTAATTTTACCAGATGGCTTGGAGCTTTGTTTGGAAGGAATTCATTGATTTAGATTATTTGGGATGACTTTGTTGGGAAATTGTGCATAAAATTAAACAAATTGCAAGCCTAGATCAATACAATTGACCAAAGGAAGTAAATAAACAGTGCTTTATGGTTTCTTGGGGAGTTTAACAGTATTTAGGTACAGATAATTAAATGTAAAATAACACTGCATAGTTCTTGCTTAGCATTTAACCTGTATGTTTTGGCTCCTTACAGTTATAGAATTGGAAATGATCCTTCTGACTGGCTCAATATAACAGGCTCTGGGCAGATTCAAGTCAAGAATGCTTTGGATCGAGAATCTTCCAATGTCAAAGATGGCAAATACAAAGCTCTCATTTTGGCTTTGGATAATGATGGTAGAGTATTTTATTTTTCTTAAAGTTCCTGTCTAGATTTTTAGTTATTTGTTTTTTGTCTAATCTTTGAACAAATGTTGTTTGCAGTTGAGTCTCCAGCAACTGGCACAGGAACACTGGTAATTGAACTGCAGGATGTAAATGACAATGCTCCTGTTATTAATGAAAGGACCATAAAATTGTGCAATCGTGAATCAGCCCCAGTGCTTCTCTCTATAACGGACAAAGATTTACCTCCTTTTGCTGGTCCCTTCAAAGTTGAGCCCCAAGGTGATACCAGTAAAAATTGGTCTGTTTTTTTCAATGGTGAGTAAATGTTTGTTTTATTTTATATATATATATATAGTTCATCTGACTTTGAGTGGACATCTCTAACTATTACATTTGCCAATTATAGAAACTGGTCATTTTCTGAATATCAAGCCTCAATCTCAGTTGGAACAGGGTGAATACAAGGTGGTCCTGAGAGTTGCTGATCGGGAGGGTGAATCTCAGGAGAATATTATTCAAGCAAGTGTGTGTGACTGCAAAGGAGAGGCATTCCAATGTACTGATAAACAAGTAGCAGGGATTCCACTGTTTGGAGTTCTTGGTGTCCTGGGAGGAATCTTACTTCTGCTATGTATGTAACTTTTTTTTTTTTTTTTTTCTTTTAATTTTTCTTTGTTTGCTCTTGTATCTTTACTTCTGTGCATTTCAGTCAAAAAAGTTAATTGTAACTTGTGGCTTTTTTGTGTGTGAGATGTGACCTCTGTAGTGCTGGGCGATATGGCAAAAAAATTATAACGATAATCTTTCATATCGGTCTATATCGATATTTATCATGATAAACGTAAAATCTACTGAAGTCTAGTGACGTTTCTAGTCAGCAATGTCTGTGACTGACCTTTTTTACCTTATTTTTTTCTTACCCCAAGTGAAACATACACTATTACTGTAAACTTTTATTCTGTGTGCGGCACTCGGAAGGGCAGGCTGCAAAATGCCTGCTCAGCGGTACGCATAGTGCCTAAATATTATTTAGCAATTATTGAACTGTCATTATTTTATCGAAGAAAAATTATCGTGATCATTATCGGTATCGAATTATTGCCCAGCCCTACCTCTGTATACTGCTCATTTTAAAGTTGTCTTTCCTTCCCCAGTGCTTGCTCTTCTTCTGCTCATGTTCCTGCGGAGGAAAAGCAACTCCAAAAAAGAACCGCTCCTTCCAGAAGATGATGTACGGGACAACATCTACTATTATGATGAGGAAGGCGGTGGAGAAGATGATCAGGTTTGTTTGAAAAATTGACAGTCATTGTTTACTACTTGGCTCTTAATATTGAAGACACATCTTGTATGCAGTGTATCAGCTGCACAGTTCTTTTTTATTTTTTATTTTTTTTAATACAAGTGTGTTAAAGCATTGTTAAATAAATGGATGATGCAAAGAAAACTGAAGATGGAAAATATTTTCTAATTTAATGTCAAAGTATGTCTGTGTCCAAAAGATGCTGTTTTGAATGAATGCATTTATACATGGATCTAATATGATCTAATATCAGGGTTCTCATGGGTCATGGCATTTCTGCGATCTCAAGGAATGTAAGGTTTCTTCCACACATTACTAATTTTACAACAACTCTGTTAACAAACAGAGCACTTCTGTGAGGTAGCTTGAACAATCAAGTAATAAATAACAATAATTTTTCACTTCTGGACTTAACAGTAAATATAAATAAAATCTAAAATGAAACAAACATCACCTCCAATTTGAAATATCCGGCAGGCAATCCCTAGTTTACATATCTTACAATTTGCCATTGCAATGTTGTCATTATCAAGTTTATAATACCTTCATACCACAGACATACTTGTGCTTTTCACTTCAAGCTGCTTCCGTGTTCTACTTTGCTGGCATTTAACCAATAGCAACAAGGTGATGTCATGCCACACATGTTACTGTTTGTGTGTGAAGTCAAAAAAGGTCTAACTCTGTACCACCGCATGGGTAACTTCTGATTGAGTCTGATTGCGTGATCGGGTCTGATTTCACACTACTCTTAATGAGTATATTGGCCATGTCTATGGTCTCAGAAATAGGTACACTTTATCTTGTCAACATGCATATCTATATTAGTACCCTTTTAATGTGCATATGTTATGTATAAGTTAATCCCTTAGAAGTATAGAAGAGTACCATTTTGAGCCTCTTGGGAAAAATGCTGCCGTCTTGATTGCTTTCTTTAATTATTATTAACTTTTTAATGTAATTTTTAAAAAATGCGTGTTGGAATTTGTCTTCTGAGGCACAAGTCATTTATTATATGAAGAAAAGATTCATGCAGCAGCTTCAACCGCTGCAAATTCCATTTTTACTGTTAATATTTGGCACCAGTTAATCAGGAAGTGATTATTTTGTTCTCTAACTCGTTGGATGGAAATGCTGCTTTATTCACATTTTTTTATGTGCTATTCCAGTTTTGGGCATACAGTTAATTAGCATGTTTGGATGGAAACATAACTATTAAGATTCAGTTGTGAATTAGTGATTATATTTTTTAAGAGTCATGCGCACTTTATTAACAGTTGAAGTCAAAATTATTAGTCCTCCTGTAACTAATAAATTTATTAACTTTTTAATTTATAGTAACTTCTTTAGTATGTTGACCATATGCAGTATTACTAATATTAATATTAATACTATTAGTAGTTAGTAATACTAGTTATTTTGTAAGATAATAGTATTCCACTTAATGCAATTTAAAGGCTTAAGTAGGCAACTTGGGTTTATTAAGCAAGGCCTTGGAGAACAACGGTTTGGGGCTAATAATATTGATCTTTTCTATTCCAGCCAGACTAAGTGAAATTGTAATATAATAAATTAAGTATAAAAGTATAGGAAATACTGGGATAATTGCTCCTTTGAACACTCAGGGGGCTAATCATTTTATCTTCAACTATAAATTTTGTGTGAGTCGTGCATTTAAACAGAAAACATGTGTGTAGCTTGATAAAATGCACTTAATCTTAGTGCTTTAAGGCAGAATTTATTTAATCAGTCAGTTATATGTTGTTGGTTTGCTTTTTGCTGTTGTTTTTAATTTAAAACACACTTTCTGCATAGGACTTTGATTTGAGTGTCCTGCACAGAGGCCTGGACAACAGACCAGAAGTGTTCAGGAATGATGTGGTGCCCACTTTCATGCCTGCACCTCAGTACAGACCTCGACCGGCCAACCCTGAGGAGATCGGCACATTCATTGATGATGTAAGGAATATGTTATTTTAGTGAAGCTCAATGATTAAGTTGTAATTCTGTTTTATTAAATAATTCATTATGTAATGTATTTGTTGTTTGAACTGTAGAACCTGAAGGCTGCAGATAATGACCCCACAGCTCCTCCCTACGACTCTCTGCTGGTGTTTGACTATGAAGGAGGAGGATCAGACGCAGGTTCACTCAGCTCCCTCAACTCTTCCAGCTCAGGAAACGACCAAGACTATGACTTCCTCAATGAGTGGGGCCCACGCTTCAAGAAGCTAGCGGACATGTATGGAGGAGGAGAGGATTAAGAATTTTTTTTTTTTTTTTTTTTTTTTTTGGTGCAAAAGGCTCAATGATTTAAATGCAAAATATGAGACTCTTTTATAGTTCACTTTATGGTCTGGTGATTGAATGTTTAAAGTTGGAACTGAAATGATAGCACTGTTCGTACATCAACATAAAGATTATTTGACTTGAAGTTTCCTCTTTTTTTTATGGGAGCGGTCTTGGAACTTGGCTTTTTTTCACTGTAAATTAAACTCCCAAGCAAAGAGACATTTGATATGTTGCGATGGCTCAGTGGAAAGATGTTGTAATGCATCTAAGAGTTTTGCCCAGAATCTGTTTTATGTAATGATTTTGCAAAAGTTTTGGCTTTATGTTTTCAGAACTCTGGCATTAAAGAAATCTAAGGCACGTAATATTGAATATTAATTTTTTTTTTTTTTTTTTATAGTTTCAAACACTTTTTTTTTTTTGTATGATATTTGCAGATTTCTATTTCTGTCCATTATTCCCTCAGCTGCAACAATGTTAATGATGAATATGTATGTTTCTTTTATATGGTTATGCTTTAGGTAGGTTTTACATTGCATATTTTATTAAACAGAATACTTTTATAATTGCTTCCAAGTGTTCATTGCAGACTATTTTTTTACACCACACATCACCTTGGGTTATAGGAAAATTTACAGGAAAAACTGAGCATGAAAAAGTATCAACGTTGTGTTAACCAATTTTAACTACAGTTCAAGCTTATATGTCTAGCACTTTCCACAATTATTATTCCTCCAAAGAAGCTTTATGAACACACACACACACACACTTGTATGTATGTATATATGTATGTATGTATATATATATATATATATATATATATATATATATATCAGGGATGCTCATTTCGGAGCGACAACTGCCGCTCAATCGATTCCTAACAGTTATCTGGTCAGATTACTATTAATTCTATATTAAACAAATTGACGTGTCTATTTTGTGTCCGACACATTAAATATTGCATTTTAAAATACTGATTTATTTTTATATGCTAGCAAAATTATAGAATAATACAACAGCATTTTCACGCACATGCAGTGTTTAGCACAGAAAAGTAGAATAATCTAAATAAAATAAATAAAATAAATAGGACTGGCCTAAATTATTTTCACTTAAATAATTTATATTACAAAACGAAAACACTGACTAATTATTTTTAATAACTGGCATAGGCTGTTTTTTTTTTTTTTACAATCAGATGTTTTATTTATTTTTCTTCCGTCAAATAAAAATCGCAGACTTTCTCAAATTGCTTGCTCCACGGAAAATATGCATTTATTTAATGCCCCGCTGTTATTATTATAAATCACAAAACCTTTTTAATTTTTTTATAGAAATCATTATTTTAAAGATTATGTCTTGCTATATGGTTTCCTTTCTCTCCCTCGCGGTTCAACGCGCGCATATGTTGACTTTTTGTAAACCGTTTTGTTGCTTAAATATGATATTGCATTAATGTGCATACATGCTTTATAAGCTGTAAAATAAAAGGTAAAGCCTATTTGTTGCGTTTATGACGCAGATCCAGGTCAACATAAGCGCTGGTTTGGCATCAACACGTCTGTTAAACAGCAATATTCTTCTTCCATTTTGCTTCTTTGGCAAATGTGTCTTTAGGCACGATTTATACGTTATCGTCCCGCAAGTTAAATGTCTTGCAGTTGAACAAGGGGCCGAAAACAAGGCGCATCTCACTGCCTTTATGTTGACAAGGAAAAAAGAAGAGCAGTCCTCTTATGAAAACACTGAATCAGCTAGGTATCGATTGTGCAAAAGTGTTGCTGTCTGTGTTGTTACAATTGTAATATTTAATAATATCGTGATATTCAAGATTTGTACATTCATACAGCTCTGGATAACTTAAAACAGCGATTAGACCTTCAGAGCGGTGTTAATGCATCCTGAAATAAAGCGTAACGGCTATAAACTCCAGCAAGATAGAGTGATTATATACAGAGTCACAGACCTTTATCTATAAATAAAGTATAACTATAGAAACTGTGTTCATCTTAACTGAAAGCTTCGTCGAGTTTGCTGGCCTCACGCATCGCGCACCTGTTAGTCAGTCGGCATGTAACGCCAAAGGGTTAAACAGCACTATAGGGTTACAGAAAAGCTTGCGCTTTTATGATTCACTTACCTTTTAATACGTTTTGGTGCGATTATAATCCGCTATGAAAAACAACAATAATGACTGAATGTTTTGAAAGGGTAATGTAGCCGTGGATGGATGCATTTTGGTCCCCGCCATGGAAGAATGAATGTAGCGGAAACCAAGCTCTTTAAAAGTTCTCTGTAGTTGTCTTGACAACACAAACTGCTGCTCAATCGGCCCTTAAGCAGCCAAACTAAATAGCATTGATAGCATTGATCGGTTACAAACGCACCCTTTCGGTTAACGGTTAATTGATTATTTTGAGCATCCCCAATATATATATATATATATATATATATATATATATATATATATATATATGTGTGTGTGTGTGTGTGTGTGTGTGTGTGTATATATATATATATATATATATATATATATATACAGTGAGGTCAATAAGTATTTGATCACCCTGTGATTTTTCAATATCTCCTACTTAGAAATCATGGAGAGGTCTAGAATTTTCACCATAGGTGCATTTCCACTTCCAGAGAGAGAATCTAAAAATAAAAATCCAGAAATCACTTTGGATGATTTTTTAACAATTTATTTGTAAATTAGTGTGTCAAATAAGTATTTGATTACTTACTTTTCAGCCAGATTTCTTACCCTCAAAGACCTGTTATTTTGCTTTTAAATAGTTCAGCTACACTCTGCTCAAGATTTTAATTTAGTAGCACCCGTTTGAAGTTGTTGGCAGTCATAAAGACACCTGTGCACTCCACAATCAGTCAAACGTCTAAGTAGCAACATGGGCAAAACCAAAGATCTGTCAAAAGACACAAGAGACAAAATTGTAGACCTTCACAAAGCTGGAAAGGGTTACGGGACAATTGACAAACAGCTTGGTGAAAAAAGAACAATTGTTGGAGCAATTGTCAGAAAGTGGAAGAGGCTAATGATGACCGTCAATGTCCTTTGGACTGAGGCCCCATGAAAGATCTTTCCTTGTGGGGTATCAATGATGCTAAGAATGGTCAAGAATCAGCCCAGAACTACACAGGAGGAGCTGGTCAATTCCGTGAAGAGAGATGGAACCACCATTTCCAAGGCTACCATCAGTAATACATTAAGACGTCATAGTTTAAAATCTTGCATCACAAGGAAGGTTCCTCTGCTTAGTTCAACCCATGTTTGAAGTTTGCCAGGGACCATCTGGATGATCCAGAGGAGTCATGGGAGAAAGTCCTGTGGTCAGATGAAAACAAAGTAGAACTTTTTGGTCTTAACCCCATTCGTTGTGTTTGGAGGAAGAAGAATGATGAGCATCATCCCAATAATACCATACCTACAGTGAAGCATGGGGCTGGAAGCATCATGCTCTGGGGGTGTTTTTCTGCACAGGGGACAGGACGACTGCACTGTATAAAGGAGAGGATGAACGGGGCCATGTATTGTGAAATGTTGGGCAAAAACCTTCTTCCCTCAGTCAGAGCATTAAAGATGGGTCGTGGCTGGGTCTTCCAACATGACAATGACCCAAAGCACACAGCTATGAAAACCAAGGAGTATCTCTGTATGAAGCATATCAAGGTTCTGGAATGGCCTAGCCAGTCTCCAGACCTAAATCCAAAAGAAAATGTTTGGAGGGAGCTGAAACTCTGTGTTGCCCAGCAACAGCCCCAAAACCTGACAGAGAGTGGGCCAAAATCCCTCCTGCAATGTGTGCAAACCAGGGGAAGAAATACAGTAACCGTTTGACCTCCGTAATTGTTAACAAAGGCTTCTGTACCAAATATTAAGCATTTTTGACTCAGGAGATCAAATACTTATTTGACACACTAATTTACAAATAAATTGTTTAAAAATCATACAATGCAATTTCTGAATTTTTATTTTTAGATTCTGTCTCTCACATTGAGAAGGACCTATGGTGAAAATTCTAGACTCCTCCATGATTTCTAAGTAGGAGATATTGAAAAATCACAGGGTGATCAAATACTTATTGACCTCACTGTATATATATATATATATATATATATATATATATATATATATATATATATATATATATATATATATATATATATATATATATGTGTGTGTGTGTGTGTGTGTGTGTGTGCCTATACGTTTACCTATATTCGTTGATTTATTTTCTTTTATGTCTTAGTTTATTAATCCGGGATCGCAACAGCGCATGAATTGTTAACTTATCCAACAAGTTTTTACGCAGTGGATGCCCTTTCAGCCACAACCCATCTCTGTGAAGCATCCATAAACATTATTTCACAGTCATACACTACAGACAATTTAGCTTCCCCAATTTCCCTATACCGCATGTCTTTGGACTGTGGAGGAAACCGAAGCACCCGGAGAAAACCAGTAAACGCAGGGAGAACATGCAAACTCCACACAGAAATGCCAACTGACCCAGCCGAGGCTCAAACCAGCGACCTTCTTGCTGTGAGGCGACAGCACTACCTACTGCGCCCCTGCGTCACCACATTCATCTATGTATTAGTATAATTATTCAAATCCATAGCTGCTAGGCAACATACATAAAAGCAAAATGTAGGAATTGACGTTTTATTTACTTAAGAAGAATCAAATAGTACAAAACATAAAGTACAAGTACAAAAAAAATCCTTATTTACCACTATCTTTATACAAGAAGGAATTGACCTTGTAAATGTTTTAGGAAAATGTGTAGACATCATAACTTTCCATCTCCTCTCACGTATTTGCCATAGTTATATTCCATAACATGCCAATTACATGTTATACCAATTTCAAGTGTTCGCACATACATACATTTTTTGCAGTTTTTAAGTAGTTCTTATTTCCTTGAAAATAGAAAATATGAGCTTGGCATGACAGTTGTCAAAGTGAGATATGAGCTACATATCTTGTATGTACATATAGGGCTTATTTGTGGATTTAAAAGAAGCAATACAGGAGACATATATGTATAGGCACATCGATGCACCTCAATTTTGCCTATCTATGACACATATACGCAGCATATATATTATTATATATGTGCATATATTCTGCATATAGGTTAATACTGCATATTATACTTTCAAGTTTCTGTTTCATTTACACCTTTTGATCACCAGGTGTCACTGTTATGTAGGTTATTTAACAATCGCAGGTAGCCTTCATTTAGTGTCCAAAGCTATAATTTTTCCAGATTATATATATATATATATATATATATTATATAATAATTCATTATATATAAAATTCATTAATGTACATGCAGCAGCCCACGTTGACCCAAAAACACAGAATTGTGGACATTTCTGCAGATTTATTTAAAAAGAAAACTGAAATATCACATGGTAATACGTATTCTTAAGGTTCCTAAGAGCACAGTGGTCTCCATAATCCTTAAATGGAAGGTGTTTGTGATGACCACATCCTTCCCTAGAAGAGCTTTTGGTGAAAGAGCGGTATAGAAGA